AGAGAAGAGAAGAGAGAGAAGAGAGAAGGAAGAAAGAAGAAGAGAGAGAGAAGAAGAGAAGAAGAGAGAAGAAAGAAGAGAGAGAAGGAAGAAGGAGAAGAGAAGAAGGAAGAGAGAAGAGAAGAGAGAGAAGAAGAAGAGAAGAGAGAAGAGAAGAGAAAGAAGAAGAAGAGAAGAGAAGGAAGAGAAGAGAGAAGAAGGGAGAGAGAAGAAGGAAGAAGAGAGAAGAGGAGAGAAGGAAGAGAGAAGAAAGAGAGAAGAAGAAGAGAAGAAGAGAAGAAGAGAAGAGAGAAGAAGAAGAAGAAGAGAGAAGAGAAAGAAGAGAGAAGAAGAAGAGAGAAGAGAAGAAGAAGAGAAGAAGAAGAAGAGAAGAAGAGAAGAAGAAGAAGAAGAGAAGAGAAGAAGAAGAGAAGAAGAGAAGAAGAAGAGAGAAGAAGAGAAGAGAAGAAAGAAGAAGAGAAGAGAAGAAGAAGAGAGAAAGAGAAGAAGAAGAAGAGAAGAGAAGAGAAGAAGAAAGAAGAGAAGAAGAAGAAGAGAGAAGAGAAGAGAGAAGAAGAAGAGAGAAGAGAAGAAGAAAGAAGAGAAGAAGAGAAGAGAGAAGAGAAGAAGAAGAAGAAGAGAAGAAGAAGAGAAGAAGAGAAGAGAGAAGAAGAAGAGAAGAGAAGAGAGAAGAAGAAGAGAAGAGAAGAAGAAGAGAAGAGAAAGAAGAAGAGAGAAGAAGAGAAGAAAGAAGAAGAGAAGAAGAGAAGAGAAAGAGAGAAGAGAGAAGAAGAAGAGAAGAAAGAAGAGAGAAGAAGAGAAGAAGAGAGAAGAAGAGAAGAAGAAGAGAGAAGAGAAGAGAAGAAGAGAAGAAGAAGAAAGAGAAGAGAAGAAGAGAAGAGAGAAGAAGAAGAAGAAGAAGAAGAGAGAAGAGAAGAGAAGAGAAGAAGAAGAGAAGAGAGAGAAGAGAAGAGAGAGAAGAAGAGAAAGAAGAAGAAGAGAAAGAGAAGAGAAGAAGAAGAAGAGAAGAAGAAGAGAAGAGAAGAAGAAGAGAAGAAGAGAAGAAAGAAGAAGAAGAAGAAGAAGAGGAAGAGAAGAGAAGAAGAGAGAAGAAGAAAGAAGAAGAAGAAAGAAGAGAAGAAGAGAAGAGAGAAGAAGAGAAGAAGAAGAAAGAGAAGAAGAGAAGAAGAGAAGAAGAAGAAGAGAAGAGAAGAGAAGAGGAAGAAGAGAGAAGAAGAGAAGAAGAGAAGAGAAGAGAAGGAAGAAAGAAGAAGAGAGAAGAAGAAGAGAAGAAGAGAAGAGAAGAAGAAGAAGGAGAAGGAAGAAGAAGAAGAAGAGAAGAAGAGAGAAGAGAAGAAGAAGAAGAGAAGAAGAGAAGAGAAGAAGAAAGAGAAGAGAGAAGAAGAAGAGAGAAGAAGAGAGAAGAAAGAGAAGAAGAGAAGAAGAGAAGAGAAGAAGAGAAGAAGAAGAGGAGAGAAGAAAGAGAAGAAGAAGAGAAGAGAAGAAGAGAGAAAGAAGAGAAGAGAGAAGAAGAAGAGAAGAAGAAGAGAAGAGAGAAGAAGAGAAAGAGAAGAAAGAGAAGAAGAAGGAGAAGAGAAGAAGAAGAGAAGAAGAGAAGAAGAGAAGAGAAGAGAAGAAGAGAAGAAGAGAGAAAGAAGAAGAGAAGAAGAGAAGAGAAGAAAGAAGAAGAGAGAAAGAAGAAGAGAAGAAGAAGAGAGAAGAAAGAAGAAGAAGAGAAGAGAAGAAGAGAGAAGAAGAGAGAAGAAGAGAAGAAAGAGAAGAAGAAAGAGAAGAAGAGAAGAGAGAAGAGAAGAAGAAGAAAGAGAAGGAAGAAGAAGAAGAGAAAGAAGAGAAGAAGAGAAGAGAAGAGAAGAAGAGGAAGAAGAGAAGAAGAGAAGAAGAGAAAGAAGAGAAGAGAAGAGAAGAAGAAAGAAGAAGAAGAGAAGAGAAGAAGAGAAGAAGAGAAGAAGAGAGAAGAGAAGAGAGAAGAGAAGAAGAAGAAGAGAAGAGAGAGAAGAAGAGAAGAAGAAGAGAAAGAAGAGAGAAGAAGAGAAGAAAGAAGAAAGAGAGAAGAGAAGAAGAGAGAAGAGAAGAAGAAGAGAAGAGAAGAGAGAAGAGAAGAAGAGAAGAAAGAAGAAGAGAAAGAAGAGAAGAAGAGAAGAGAAGAGAAGAGAGAAAGAAGAAGAAGAGAAGAAGAAGAGAAGAAGAGAAGGAAGAGAAGAAGAAGAAGAGAAGAAGAAGAAGAGAAGAGAAGAAAGAGAAGAAGAGAAGAAGAGAGGAGAAGAGAAGAAGAGAAGAGAAGAAGAGAAGAAGAAGGAGAAGAGAAGAGAGAAGAGAAGAAGAAGAAAGAGAAGAGAAGAAGAAGAGAGGAAGAGAAGAAGAAGAGGAAGAGAAGAAGAAGAGGAAGAAGAAGAGAAGAGAGAAGAGAGAAGAAGAAGAAGGAGAAGAAGAAGCAGAGAGAAGAGAAGAGAAGAAGAAGAAGAGAAGAAGAGAAGAGAGAGGAGAAGAGAAGAAGAGAAGAAGAAGAAGAGAAGGAAAGAAGAGAAGAGAAGAAGAGAAAGAAGAAGAAGAGAGAAGAGAGAAGAAGAAGAAGAAGAGAAGAAGAGAAAGAGAAGAAGAAGAGAGAAGAAGAGAAGAGAAGAGAAGAAGAGAAGAGAAGAAGGAAGAGAAAGAAGAGAGAAGAGAAGAAGGAGAAAGAAGGAGAAGAAGAGAAGAAGAAGAGAGAAGAAGAAGAGAAGAAGAAGAAGAGAAGAAGAAGAGAAGAGAAGAGAAGAAGAGAAGAAGAGGAGAAGAGAAGAGAAGGAAGAAGAAGAAGAGAAGAGAGAAGAAGAAGAGAAGAAAGAGAAGAGAGAAGAGAGAGAAGAAGAAGAGAGAAGAGAAGAAGAGAAGAAGAAAGAGGAGAGAAGAAGAAGGAAGAAGAGAAGAGAGAGAAGAAGAAGAGAAAGGAAAGAGAGAAGAAGAGAAGAGAAGAAGAGAAGAGAAGAAGAGGAAGAGAAGAGAAGAAGAAGAGAAGAAGGAGAAGAAGAGAAAGAGAGAAGAAGAAGAGAAGAGAAAGAAGAAGAGAGAAGAAGAGAAAGAAGAAGAAGAGAGAAGAAGAAGAAGAGAAGGAGAAGAGAGAAGAAAGAGAAGAAGAAAGAGGAGAAGAGAGAAGAAGGAAGAAGAGAAAGAAGAGAAGAGAAGAAGAGAAGAAGAGAAGAAGAGGAAGAGAAGAGAAGAAGAAGGAAAGAGAGAAGAGAAGAGAAAGAAAGAAGAGAAGAAGAGAGAAGAGAAAGAAGAAGAAGAGAAAGAGAAGAAGAAGAAGAGAAGAGAAGGAGAAGAGAAGAAGAAGAGAAGAGAGGAAGAAGAAAGAGAAGAAGAAGAGAAGAAGAGAAGAAAGAGAGAAGAAGAAGAGAAGAGAAGAAGAAGAGAAGAGAAGAAGAAGAGAGAGAAAGAGAAGAAGAAGAGAAGAGAGAGAAGAAGAAAAGAGAAGAGAAGAAGAAGGAGAAGAAGAAGAGAAGAAGAGAAGAGAAGAAGAGGAAGAAGGAAGAAGAAGGAGAAGAGAGAAGAGAAGAAGAAGAGGAAGAGAAGAAGAAGAGAAGAGAAGAAAGAGAAGAAGAGAGAAGAAGAAGAAAGGAAGAGAAGAGAAGAGAAGAAGGAAGAGAAGAGAGAAAGAAGAGAAGAGAAGAAGAGAAGAAGAGAAGAGGAGAAGGAAGAGAGAAGAAGGAAGAGAAGAAAGAGAAGAGAAGAAAGAAGAAGAGAAGAAGAGAGAAGAGAAGAGAAGAAGAAGAAAGAAGAGAGAAAGAGAGAAGAAGAAGAGAAGAGAAGAAGAGAAGAGAAGAAGAGAAGAAGAAGGAAGAGAAGAGAAGAGGAGAGAAGAAGAGAAGAAGAGAAGAGAAGAAGAAGAAGGAAGAGAAGAAGAAGAGAAGGAGAGAAGAAAGAGAGAAAGAGAAGGAGAAGAGAAGAAGAAAGAGAGAGAAAGAGAAGAGAAGGAAAGAAGAAGAGAAGGAGAAGAGAAGGAGAAGAAGAAGAGAAAGAAGAGAGAGAAGAAGAAGAGAAAGAGAAGAGAAAGAGAGAAGAAGAAAGAGAAGAAGAGAAGAGGAGAAAGAGAGAAGAAGAGAAAGGAAGAAGAGAAGAAGAGAAGAGAAGAAGAGAGAGAAGAAGAAGAAGAGAAGAGAAGAAGAAGAGAAGAAGAAAGAGAGAAGAAGAGAAAGAGAAGAAGAAGAAGAAAGAGAAGAGAAGAAGAGAAGAGAGGAAAGAAGAAGAAGGAAGAGAAGAAGAAGAGAAGGAAGAAGAGAAGAGAAAGAAGAGAAGAAGAGAAGAGAAGAAGAGAAAGAGGAGAAGAAGAAGAGAAGAGAAGAAGAAGAGAAGAGAGAGAAGAAGAAGAAGAGAGAAGAGAAGAGAAGAGAGGAAGAGAGAAGAAGAGAAGAAGAAGGAGAAGAAAGAGAGAAGAAAGAAGAGAAGAAGAGAAGAGAAGAGAGAAAAGAAGAGAAGAAGAAGAGAAAGAAGAGAAGAAGAAGAGAGAAGAAAGAAGAAGAGAAGAGAAGAAAGAGAAGAAGAAAGAGAAGAAAGAGAAGAAGAGAAGAGAGAAGAAAGAAGGAGAGAGAAAGAAGAGAGAAGAAGA